TCCTAGCTGGGCCAGCTGTTTCGGCCGAATCCCCCAGAATCTCCTAAACAATATTTAAGGGCTGCCGCCCCTGCCGCCGACCCCGGAAGGCCAGAGACTTCGGACAAAGTGATATAGTCGGTGGATTACCAAGGTCACAAGATTGACCTAAATATTCTTCAGTGCTTCGCACTGTCAGGCTTTCCCCCTTGTTTATATGTATATTTTCCCAAACCCCTTCACCCCCCTGAGCAGTTCCTCGACGACTTCAACCAGAGTCTGGGTCTTGAGCTCGTGAATTATTAAATAAACCTTCCCATTAACCCCCCTCCTTCTGTGGCAAGGTGCAGTGTTGTGCCATGGCAAGGCGTAGACACGAAGTAAGACACACAGTACGCATAGCATCCAGTATTTCCGGCACCAATAGTTCAGGTATTCTATTCAAATTATAGGGATTTGGTATCGCAGCTTTTTATGTAGTCCAGGATCAGGACCTTGTCCTTGGAGTTCTACAAATATGTGTAGCTTAGTTTCACTTGAATAAAAAGGACTCCAGATTTTTGTCCTTGGACATTTCTTACCATGACTTCTGTCCTTGCAATTTGATGGACTTTGGCTGGTATGTATGTACGCAACGTAACGTTATGTAGTGTAATGTACTGTACTGTAAATGTACTGTAAATGTATTGTCTTTGTATTGTTATATCAGCCCCTGTTACTTTTTGCTTGTGCTCACCGCATTTTACGGTAAAATTATGGTTCCCGCAAATGTTGCCAAATTTTGGCTACAGAGGTCAAATAATGCATACGGACATCAAAAAACAAGGTTTACCGCAAATGTCAGCAAATAGACCCAGCATTTGATTCACAGGGATGATATATAGCTACGTACTTTTTTCTCCTGCTGCTGAAGACGCTCCTACTGCTGCTGCTGCTGCTGCTGCTGGTGGCTAGCTACGACGCCTAAAAGCGAACCACTCCCAGCGGCAAATCGCCATGGCAGTGAAGGACGGAAAAGTTCCAAAATTGCACCGCAAAAATGCCTAACGTAACTTCTGAATCCCATAGAAAATGATGATTGGTTTAGCTACTTTTTCTCCTGCTGCTGAAGACGCTCCTACTGCTGCTGCTGCTGCTGCTGCTGCTGGTGGCTAGCTGCGACACCTAAAAGCGAACCACTCCCAGCGGCAAATCCCCATGGCAGTGAAGGACGGAAAGGCTCCGAAATTGCACCGCAAAAATACCTAACGTAACTTCTGAAACCCATAGAAAATGATGATTTTAGCTACTTTTTTCTCCTGCTGCTGAAGACGCTCCTACTGCTGCTGCTGCTGCTGCTGCTGGTGGATAGCTGCGACGCCTAAAAGCGAACCACTCCCAGCGGCAAATCCCCATGTCAGTGAAGGACGGAAAAGCTTCGAAATTGCACCTCAAAAATGCCTAACGTAACTTCTGAAACCCATGGAAATGATGATTTTAGCTACTTTTCTCCTGCTGGCTGCTGAAGACGCTCCTACTGCTGCTGCTGATGCTGCTGCTGCTGCTGGTGGCTAGCTGCAACGCCTAAAAGCGAACCACTCCCAGCGGCAAATCCCCATGGCAGTGAAGGACGGAAAAGCTTCGAAATTGCACCTCAAAAATGCCTAATGTAACTTCTGAAACCCATAGAAAATGATGATTTTAGCTACTTCTTTCTCCTGCTGCTGATGCTGCTGCTGCTGCTGCTCCTGCTGCTGCTGCTGGTGGCTAGCTGCAACGCCTAAAAGCGAACCACTCCCAGCGGCAAATCCCCATGGCAGTGAAGGACGGAAAAGCTTCGAAATTGCACCTCAAAAATGCCTATAATGTAACTTCTGAACCCATAGAAAATGATGATTTTAGCTACTTTTTCTCCTGCTGCTGATGCTGCTGCTGCTGGTGCACCGAAATTAGACTTCAAAAGTGCTGCTGCTGGTCGCTATCTGCGACGTCTAAAAGCGAACCACTCCCAGCGGCAAATCCCCATGGCAGTGAAGGACGGAAAAGCTCCGAAATTGCACCTCAAAAATGCCTAATGTAACTTCTGAAACCCATAGAAATTGATGATTTTAGCTACTTTTTTCTCCTGGTGCTGAAGACGTTCCTACTGCTGCTGCTGTTGCTGCTGGTGTCTAGCTGCGACGCCTAAAAGCGAACCACTCCCAGCGGCAAATCCCCATGGCAGTGAAGGACAGAAAGGTTCCGAAATTGCACCGCAAAAATGCCTAACGTAACTTCTGAAACCCATAGAAAATGATGATTTTAGCTACTTTTTTCTCCTGCTCCTGAAGACGCTCCTATACTGCTGCTGCTGCTGCTGCTGCTGCTGCTGGTGGCTAGCTGCGACGCCTAAAAGCGAACCACTCCCAGCGGCAAATCCCCATGGCAGTGAAGGACGGAAAAGCTTCGAAATTGCACCTCAAAAATGCCTAATGTAACTTCTGAAATCCATAGAAAATGATGATTTTAGCTACTTTTTTCTCCTGCTGCTGAAGACGCTCCTGCTGCTGCTGCTGCTGCTGCTGGTGGCTAGCTGCGACGCCTAAAAGCGAACCACTCCCAGCGACAAATCCCCATGGCAGTGAAGGATGGAAAAGCTCCGAAATTGCACCTCAAAAATGCCTAATGTAACTTCTGAAACCCATAGAAAATGATGATTTTAGCTACTTTTTTCTCCTGGTGCTGAAGACGCTCCTACTGCTGCTGCTGCTGCTGCTGCTGCTGGTGCACCGAAATTAGAGTTCAAAAGTGCCAAACGTAACTTCTGAAACCCATAGAAAATGATGATTTTAGCGATGAGTTTAGCTACTTTTTTCTCCTGCTGCTGAAGAAGCAGAAAAGCTCCGAAATTGCACATCAGAAGTGCCTAACATAACTTCTGCAACCCAGCAGCAAATCCCCATGCTGCTGCTGCTGCTGATGGCTGGCTGCAACGCCTAAAATCGAACCACTTAATAGCTGCTAGCTGCCAATCACAAAGTGCATAGCTTTGAGCACATGGCACATGCGCAATAGCCTGCTGTGTCAGAAACTCCTTTTCCCTTACGCGCTAACTCCTTTTCCCTTACGCGCTCCCCCTTGCCCAGCCGGGGTCGCGCGCATCCCCCTTTTGTCTGCCGGGGTCGGCGGAAGTGGTGTCTTATTCCCTGGCGCGCTCCCCCTTGCGTCTGCCGGGGTCGGCGGATTATAGCTGGGCCTGCTGTTTCGAAACGGTTCCGAAACAGCAAAACACCACCTAATTTCGTGCCCAAAACGTAACACATGAACCCAAAAAAACTCACCTGCTGCTGCTGCTGCTGCTGTTGCTGCTGCTGACAGAAGAGTCGCAAGAGCACCTCCCGGCACCAAAACAGCAAGGCACGGAAGCATCAGCTCACCTGCTGCTGCTGCTGTTGCTGCTGCTAACAGAAGAGTAGCAAAAGCACCTCCCGGCACCAAAACAGCAAGGCACGGAAGGACGAACAGGCCCTAGAATCGCACCGAAAAACTGCCTAACGGCCCTTCTGAATTCCAAGAAAAAATGTCTTTTTCCCAACCGTTTCCGCTCTTTCAATCTCCCATCTGCTCACCTGCTGCTGCTGCTGCTGCTGCTGTTGCTGCTGCTGACAGAAGAGTCGCAAGAGCACCTCCCGGCACCAAAACAGCAAGGCACGGAAGGACGAACAAGCCACAGAATCGCACCGAAAAACTGCCTAACGTCCCTTCTGAATTCCTAAGAAAAAAAAATATCTCTGTCTCTTTTTCCCAACCTTTTTGTCTCTGTCTCTTTTTCCCAACCTTTTCCGCTTTTTCAATCTCCCAGCAGCTCACCTACTGCTGCTGCTTCTGCTAACAGAAGAGTAGCAAGAGCACCTCCCGGCACCAAAACAGCAAGGCACGGAAGGACGAACAGGCCACAGAATCGCACCGAAAAACTGCCTAACATCCCTTCTGAATTCCTAGAAAAAATGTGTCTCTGTCTCTTTTTCCCAACCTTTTCCGCTTTAACGTCCCTTCTGAAACCCTATTAAAAATAGTCTTTTGCCAATACTCCGCCACACCCAAACACCATGGCAGTGAAGGACAGACGCGCCACCTTTTGCCAATTTTGCGAACCTTTTCCCGGTTTCGACCAATTTTTATACCACTGTTTGTACAATGAGACATAGAACCTCGAGGATGCGGCCTCGAACGAACAAATCAGAGCGGGAAGGGCAACCCAAGGAGCCCCACGTACCTCGAGGAGACTCCGGGAAGGACCCCCCACCGGTAAAACAAAAACCCCGGAGTCAATGAATCGACGTACGTGACCGGTGGGAGGGGGACCCAACAGGGTCCCCCGGCAAAGGGTCATTGTTGTTGTTGTTGTTGTTGTTGTTGTTCTTGTTGTTCTTGTTGCTTGTTGTTGTTGTGGTTGTTGTGCTGCTGCTGCTGCTGCTGCTGTTTCTATCTACTGTAGCTGCAGTAGTATAGTAGTAGTCGCAATGTCTTATTCCCTGGCGCGCTCCCCCTTGCGTCTGCCGGGGTCGGCGGATATACCTGGTACATCCTGGTACTATGAAATCAGTTATTTATGGATTTTTTTTGGGTGAACTCACCAGGTAAATGATGGAAAACCATGATTAACCATGGTGAGATTATATCAATTATACCAGGTGAGTAATAGCACTTATGGTCATCATTGATCCGAGTTGAGCGCCTCCTTAGTGTTACGCACGAAGTTCCAGTTGGTAGTTTCATGACAATTCCACATTGTATGATCATGATCTTCATATATCATGCACAAATGATTCCAGAATATCTCCGGTGAAATATTTCAATGATATCCCACCATATGAGATATGGGATGAAATGAGATAGTCACTTAGGATTTATATACCATATAATACCATATAATACCATAAAAACCATATAAAACCATATAATACCATATAATACCATATATTTATATCCCTATACCAATGAAATATATCACAATCCCATCATTTCAGCATTCCCCTTGTGGAATTCGTCGCATCCCCCAGGTCTTTTTGGCCACGGGCCTCGCTTTGATGATGGCCCGGAGGGCCCGGTGAGTCGTCGAGCGATAATGGCGAGATGGAAATCTCAGAAAACATGGCAGGATTATCCCATGATATCTATGTATAAATAAATATGTATAGTATATATTATATTATATATATGATAGATATATATATATATCCATTATATATATATACTGTGATATACCCAATGATATGCCACAATATATCCTATTGTTGATGTATCTTATGTTTGTGTAGCCCAAATACGCTTGGTCATTCACGGCGTTTTTCCGCTTCCCTCGACATTGTCAGTATTGAGGCCCGCTTGTCCACTCGCAAAGAGGAGAAGACGACCTATGATCTCGTACGGAGGGCCAAGCACCGCACAGTATGGGGAACCACAATCTGATTGATTTTGAAAGTTGATGATTGACCAATGGAAAGAGGTCCCCAATTTGTGGACAAAGCCTGATTTGAGTACCCTCCTCTGTTCATGCAACAGTTTGCCGACAAAAAAGTAGGGGACACACGGGCCCCGGTTCACCCCGGAGTCTATGGATCGGTCTATCGTCGTAAGACAACTACAACCCTGATTTCCAGTTTAATCCTATATACCCTTTGGTTATGACTAACATAGCCATGGAAAATCGGAAAATCACCATTTTTAAGAACGGTAAGCCATCTATTTCTATGGGCCATGTTCATCCATGTTCCATGGTTATGTTAGTCATAACCAGATGGTAAATGTGGCTTTTCAAATCCCCATGTTTTTCGTCATCAGCCCATGTTCTTGTTGCTTAAATCCCATGAACCACTGAGGTCTTCACTTCTGGTTGTTTGCTGAGTTCGGCCATGGTGCGCCCTTAAAAATGCGTTCCTTGGGGGTGAATCACTAGAAATTTGGAGTTCGCCAACAGCTGCTGAAATTGGGTGAACTGTTTGGTGTTGAACAGCTAAAATTTGGTGAAGCAAGCTATACCGAAGGCACCATGCATCACCGGCACCATGACCGCCAGGTCTTATCTTTGGTCGAGTGCCTAATCGGTTTTGAGCCGGGCGCCTGGAGCTCTTCAGCGCTTCGAATTCTTCCAATTCTTCCCTCGTTCCGTGCCGCAGCGAGGTGGGGATATCTCCAGAACTTCTGGGGCTTCCCGTATCTTCATGTGGCCATCCATCTGCTTGAGCAGGCACGGTTTCTTTAAAGGACGAAATCCCTAGCTGAAATCATGATAGTCCAAGATCCAAGCATTTGCCCTCAGAAATGCTGCTGCTATCAGAATTGAGCCACATCTTTGGAAAGCATTTCAGAAGAACAAGCAAAGCAATAATGATCCCAAAAAATAACATGATGTTCACAGAAAAAGACATGGTTTTCACATGGTTTCCACTGTGTTTTTCCATGGCAAATCTTGGCAAAAAATGGCGAACGAGATTTCTGCAGTTGGGCATTTACATCTTTGGAGTTGGCGTGGCGGCACTCGAGGCGCAGCGAGCAAGGACTGGTACAAATGCCTTAGGCAGTTATACATATGTACATATTGCATCTATTGTATCTATTGTATCTATTGTATACATATATATCATATATATACATATATATCATATTGTATGTGTATATTTTATCTATATATACATGTGTGTGTGTTTCAGGTATAGTAGTATGGATTTGTAGAATGGACGTCTAATCGGAGTTTTCGCCGGAAATGTGCTTGTGCTCCTCCTCCTTGAGGTACTTCTGTTGCGACCCAAAGACTTCCAAAATGCCAAGGCTGGGACAGTACAATAATAACAATAATTATGATAATAATGGGGATATAATGGGGATAATGATATATTGATGTCTTTAGTAATAGGGATATAACGGTAATTATTGGTGATTTAACCATCAATGCTGACTCAACAAACATGTAGCTATGCCTGGATTCCTATGGAAAAATGTATGTTTGCCATCAATAACTCAGCCTCTTTTAGGCCCCGACAGGTCACCCATCATCTCTAAAAGATCATCGTATCAACCAACTTAGACAGAAAATGATCTGCATCTGCATCGTGTTTTTTTGTTTAATATCTATTTTTTTTAAGGAATAACTATGTGGTACCCTCTGGTAAACTAACATAGCTATGGAAAATCATCATTTTCAGTGGGTAAATCCACTATAAATGGCAATTTTCAATAGCTATTTTGACATAACCAGAGGGTAACTATGTCCTCTCCAAAGATGGCCATCTGGGGACAGGTTTCGCAGCTGCGATGGCTCATCTATTTCTACTGCGAGCCGCACGGAGTCGCAGTGATTTTGCCGAGAAAAACCACCAATTTTCCCGGCCTGGTTATGTCAACAGTTTGCTATGGGAAATGGCCATTGAAATAGTGAGTTTTCCCATTAAAAATTGTGATTTTCCATAGTTTTTTGTATGTTTACCAGAGGGTAAGGGATGGTTGAAACGTGTTGAAAGCCTGTAAATAAAAATGGAATATGTTTACCAAACCAGCGTTTTCACTCACTTTTCTCACTTTCTCACTTTCCGGCTCCAAAGGGGTCAAGCCCTTGCTGCCCATGCAACGCTCTCTAATTAGGGTGTCAAAAACAGATCAACGTAGATCCGGCTGGAAGTCTGGCAGCCACCCCGCGCATTGGCGGATGGTACTGCACGCCTCTTCAGCCTCTTTGATCCACCTGTACAAAGACAGAGGGCACTCGCTTGGAGAGGTCACTCGATCCAAACGAAGATCAATGTCAAGTTGATCTGTGACTGCTTGAGCAAGCCCAGCACTAAAGCGTGCGGGATACTCTTTGTGGCAACTGGTCTTGAAGTTGCCTTCAGCATCTCTACCTATCGCTACCGCTTTGGGCTTCACTAACGGTCCATCGGAGTGCTTGTACAATGATCGAAGGAAGAACGGCATGCGTAGGGCGAGAAGTCCAGTTGGTTTCGGAACCGTGGCCCCAAACTTCCACTGCGGGACCACGTGAAGATGCACATCTGGATGTTCTCGGAGAAGCACAAGCCACGGAGAGGTCCAGATAGAAGCGCGGGCATCATCAGTCGGGGGAGCCGGATGCTCGCTGATAAAATACCCACCCGTGATCACTTGGTATGCTATCAAAACTGCGCCTTGAAGGAAAAAAGCACTGCCTGCATGGAGCTGAGCAATTTCCCGTCGTGTGAGCCCTGGCAGACCCAAAAGCCTCGCCCAAGAACGCAAGGGACGCGGAAGACGTCTGGGTGGCAGGTGCGCAGGGCGATCTTCTTCTTCTTGCTGGTGTCTCGCTTCAGAAAACGTCTCGCACGGTGTGCCAGCCAACGTAGCGGAGACCAGGCCCAGTTGATAGCATCTCAAGAGCTCAGTCCAGGAAGCGGAGCGCATCTGTAGATTGCCCATGGAGACCGAGTTGGCCGTGTCCATAGACAAAATAGTAGCCGTAAAATTTCTTCTTGTGGCCCAGGCTGCAACGCAATCATGAAAATCTCCCTCTCTTCTTCTTCCAGAAAAAAGGTGAACAAACAAGAAATGACGTCGCTCCTGAACTCTTGCAAAGAGTGGTGTCTTCATGTCATCCGGCAGGGTTTTCCATTTCACCTGTCTGAGCCTGTCTAGCCATTCCGCTTGCTGTTCATAGCTCGATGGCACCTTCTGAACTGTGGCTCTTCTCTCACGTTCATTAGCCGTGCCAAAACGCTTCGGTCTATGCGGCCCCGGTTCGACGCCTTGTTCTTCTCGAAGTCGGTGCAAACGTTGACGGGCCATGTCAAGTCTGATTTGGCATTCTGTACGGGGTAAGACCGAATAGAGATCATAGTAAGTTTGCTCAATGGCATACTCCAATTCTCCATCGAAGATATTGGCGATGATGTCCGGGAGAATGTGCGAGCCCCAAGAGAGAAACACAAGCTCCGTCCATTCCTCAAACTGAGGGTCAAATGTGAAGAGCAATCTCGTCCACCAATCGCCAAGGTCGGTAAGATGTTCTGGAACATCACGTCCACCACGAAAGTTCTCAATCCAAATCTCAGTGCATCTTGTGAGGCGGTCGCTCAACGCTTGCCCCTGCACTAAGTGATCTTCAGGGAGCACAGAGACTAGTAGTTCAGCTTCCAAGTCTTGGATCTGACGTTCTGTCTCCTCGATTTCAGTCTGCACTACTGGAACAAATTGTCCACTGGGTCCCATTGTCTGGAGCGCATCAAGCCTAACTGCACTTCGAAAGGATTGTGGTACCTTGACTGCGGAGTATTCCGTGGAATAACCCCGCTCAAGGAGCGCTTGAAAGCAGGCGTTCCCTCCTCCTCTTCTGGGAATATAGGCGAGGTGCTGCTGCAACCTAGCGCTCGCCCAAAAGAACCGTAAACAGTTCGGGCACGTGGCCCCACAGACAAAATTGTGCTCAGGTGCAAACTGTTGATGGGCCTTAACTCGATGTAATGCAAGGCCCTGAGCTGATGTGAAGCTGCGTCCACAGTCGCAGCGGTGCATCTCTGCTCTGGATGGCTCCTGGAGTTGAGCCAAGTCAGGGTCAAATTCTGCTCCTGCGCCTTTCAAGACTCCAAAAAAGGTCGTATTCAGCTCATGCAGGTCCGCCATCATGTGTTCCTGCGTGATGCCAACAACCCAAACTCGTTTGAGAATGCGCTTCCAAGGCAGATGGCGGCACTGCCACAAATCAATCACATCAGTGAAGTCCTGGGAGTCCGTGAAGGGAACGCTGTCCGGGACAACCGAGTTGAGCCATCGAAGGTCTTCGGCGAGTCCATGGAGCCATGAGTCTTCTGATCCCCCATAATCCACATGTAGGAGGTGCTGAAGGAAATCAGGCCCAACCGTAAAGACTTTCCGCGCGTAACTCAAACGGTCCAGTGCAAGCAAAGTGCGGACATCCGCTGTGTTTGCCATGGCAAGGACTTTCCCATTGGAAAGGTGTGCGTCATGTGGAAGTCGCAAAACCTTTCGAAGAAACCCAATGTAGGCATTCCGCAAGGTCTGAAGTTGCCTCAATGTGGGTGTTCTCCAAGTTCCCAAACCATAGAATAGCTTCGTGGCAACGAGGGCTTTGAAGAGGCGGAGGCGAACACCAACTGGGAAATGGCGATTCGTCAGAATCGGACGTCCCAGGGTGGCCATCGCTTGCTGTGCATAGCCAATACGGTGGCGTAATTCCACATCGATCGATTGGGATGAAGCATAGGTGTAACCCAAATGCTTGTAGGTGGTCTTGAAGTGGAGCCAGACCTCCCTACCAGAGCTCAACTTGCAGTCCACTCCAGGTCGCTCAATGAGAAGAAATTCTTTGCGCATAGCCGGTGCCTCTTTCCCTTGAAAGCTGATCACAGCATTGGTTTTGTTGAGCTCATAATTGATGGTAAAGCCCTTGGCCGCAAAGATCTCTTCCACCTGGTAAACAAGCCGGCAGAGTCCTGGGACAATGCACGCAGCCTTGTCTGAAGCCCAAGGGATCGCCACATCATCAGCCCAAATGATGGTCAGTGCGGGAAGATCATGCTGATTCAGAATGTTCATGAAAGCAGTCTGCTCAGAAAGCCAACCACGGACATCCATCATAATCTGTGACATTGCGATATGGAAGATGGCGTCAGCCAAAGGCGAGCCTGGGCGCGTCCCTCTTTTGGTTCGGATGATCTCATTCTTGGATACCGTGAACCATGTATCAGTATGTATATCACGAAACAGATGGAGGAGTCGAGCATCACAGCCATATCGCTCCAGGATCCCAATAAGTTTTTGTCCATGGTGGGCGGCTTCAATGGGGTATCCTGCAGTCTGCAAATCAGTCAAAACTTGGTGAAAATCATCTGCATTTGAAACTCCCAATGCAAATTCTCTGACCAGATGATGGAAGGCGCTCGCCAGATCTAGATAGAGAACTGCAGTGCTATAGCCTTTGGTGTCCAGGATGCGCGTCCAGGTAGTGACGGAATGAAATCCAAATTGGACCATCTGGCCTTCAAATCCTCCAAGCTGCCCTTCCGCTCGAAGTGGTGACAACGTGTTCATGAGTGTGGCTCTCATCATACTGTGGATCCGCTTGGCGATTGAAGCTAAGAGAAGGATTCCACGGTAATTGCGTGCCTCCAGGAGGCTCCCTTTCTTGTGGATGAGGCACATAATCCCTCCTTTAAATTGTAAGGGCTCCGCACACCACATGTGGATCTTCAAAAGAAGGGAGTAATAAAGCCTCGCCACAAGCGGGGCATGGTCATGATGTATTCCAGATGGGACTAAATCAAGTCCAGTCGCTCGATTCGGTGTCGTGGTCCGCAGGGAGGATTCAAAGCTGGTCAAGGAGGGTAGGGAATTTGCAGAGATGACCCCTCCTTCAAAGTGTTGCATCACTTGCAGTTGTCGCTGATGGCACGATTGCAGAAGATCTGATTCCTGGGTACATTCTCCCAGCTCAAGTTCCTGCAAATGAGGTACAATCTTCCCATCCAAAGCTTCAATCTGCGTAGGAGGTGGGTGCAATTTCCTCTGCCGGAAACGAGGTAGAGAACGCCGAATGACTGCCCAGAATCTCTTGACATCCTTCGGCTCCAGGAGGTCAGCCCCATCTGCCAACAATGATTGGAAAAAGGCCACATCATCTCGACGTAGCAAGCGGACTGCGCATCGTCCAAGTTGCTTGAAGTTGGAATAAGCCTTGGCGATCAGCTTGTCCTGCATTGAAAGCAGAGAGTTGAAATCATCCCTGAAGTCGGCAACTGCCTCAGCTCCTCCTTTCCAACTCAGAAAAACAATACGCAGCTGATCTGATCGTTGTTGCTGGTTGAGATGAGCCAGGTGCTGTCGCGCTTCCCTTTTCTGGAGCACAATCTGCCAAGTCTCTTCAGAAAGAGTTTTCTTCTTCGGTCGTTTGGCCCTGCTGCTACATTGCGATTGGAGTACATGGAGCATATGCTCTTGGAGCATGGATGCATGGGTGTGCACATTGACCTCTGGTGGGATGAAGTCAATCTGTCTCAAAGGAGTCATGTCGCAGTGTTTGGTATCCAGCTCCTTGAAGTTGTTTGGTTTCACTGCTCTCTTCTTGAGGGCAACAATGCTTCCAAAACGCAGGTCAACACATGCGGCGGCATGATCAGTGGAGGTGATGGAGGGATCAATTGTAGAGCTCACCCAAGCTTCACAACTCTCTGGAGACCAGGCTTGCGGGAGGCCAACGTAGTCAATTCGGCGGCTCTTCCCACTTGTATGCGTCCATGTATCTCCAGGTCCTTGTTGAAACTGCTCAAAAGTGGCTGGCAGCCACAAATTGTGCTGATGAACAAAGTGCTCAAAACCTTCGGCTTTGGCATCCAATGGCCCAGCTTGATAAGCTCCAATCGCTGTATTAGGATGATGGCCGACAGTAGCGTTGGCATCAGCCAACAAAACAACTGGCCAATCCTTGTAGGCTTTGGGGATGCAGCCGGTGATGCCCTGCCACCAGCTGGCAATGTCCAGAGCTGCATTGCCTGTGTGGGGTGCATGACAGGCAATGATCAAGAACCGTATGAAATCATTGGTCACTCGCAAGATCAAAGCCCTGGGTGCTTGGTGAATGATAGCAAAATGATCTTCTTTAAACTTGATCCTTCGTACGACTGGTGCGCCTTCAGCCGATGTGGTGGCGAAGGGAAGATTCTTGGCGACGCCCACAATCATACCATAATGGCCCTGCTCTGTGGCGCAGGCTCGAAAAAGGAAATACTCATCCGAACGGCTCTGGTGCAGCCGTCTCAGACGGGTTTCCTGCAGAGCAAAGATCGTGATGCGCTCCTCCGCAAACTGATACAGTAGTGCCTGTTGGCGGGCTGGGCCCCGAAGGCCACATTCAGTCTCATCACGTTGGCCACACAGCGAAAGCACGTTGCAGGTTGCAAACCGCAAATGACAGTGTATGGGTGAGGGCTCAGTCTCTTGCTCCTCCAAAGCGTCCTTCTGACCCAACACAGTCAAAGTGGGGTGTGATGTAGGCATACCCATTTGCAGCTGATGATGTCTCCAGAAAGGGAGAAATTCCCAATCGAAAAGAATCCAAAACCAATCCGAGTCATTCCTGAAAGTCTGTGTATTGAGCGTAGCCAGCCATCTGGTAGTAGCATTGGTCGGTAGTGTATGGGCTTGTTGTGCAAGGAAATCAACCAACTCATTGCCTGGATGGCCGGAGTGACCTCTGACATGCCAGTGTTGGATAGTGGGGTCAAAGCGTGTCTCAATGAGCCGATGAAGGTTGCGTAGAACAGTGCCCAAGGTGGCATGACGAAAGCAATGCCATAGGCCTGCAGTTTGATTGCCAACTGTAAGCGAGTCAAAACAAAAGCAAAGTTCTGGGCAAACTGCTCCCATAGCTTCATGCAACTTCAAAATGTCATAGCCCATCTTGATGCTGATCGCAGAAGCTAGGTGCTCTGCTGGCCCATAAGAAGCGTTTTCAACTGGTGATGAAAAAATTTCGCTGGCCCATCCACAGTAATAATCAATCAACCATAATCACAATCATCATCATGATCATAACAATAAGAAGAATGATAAGTTAGAATTAAGATGACAATAAGAACAATATGAATAATACTGGTACAGGTGATTATTTTGAATAAGAAATGGTCATGTATGTCCTGGTTTTTCTGTCAGAAACAAGTCTGGTTTTGCAGCTGGGATGGGTCTGTACTGTAGCTCTAGGCCCATGGCGGATGATCTTTGGTGACTGTATGATGCTGGTTATCATACTAGATGAATAATGCATATTATGTCATGAGATATCTATGATATCATGAGTATTATGATTGATAACTATTTTAACTACTAAAAATTTTTAGAGTCCCCAGACTCGTAGTTTTGATGATATCAAGGATTCACTTGTAATAGTCAGAATTTAGTCATACTACTCTCGGAATATAAATCAGGCTACTAGGGTATTGAGGTGAAATGACTCATTCTGCGTTGCTTAAGCCCAGATAAAGGTGGAATCTGCATTGCATATGATGTGGTAAACCCATCAATAAAGGATACCCAATTTGGCCAGAAATCCATGGTAAAAACCATGCCCCAACTGGGGGTTCAGTATTGGGTTTACCGGATTGAAAACCACAAAAATCCGACCCCAGGTCGAAGGATGGCAAGTGCAGTGTGACGGCAGCACCCCCAGATGCGATGAGGTTTTTTGCTGTGTGAGTCTCTTCGATTAACGTCCCTATTGGATCTGGGGGCCCAGGGATTGTAAGTTTGGCCCTGTGACCAATCAACTTGCCAGCAAAATTTTGGTGGTCTTGCACTTTATTTGGGCGTGAAAATGTGCAGCTGCAACCACCACTTCTACATGGTTTCGCAGGATATGAACGCATAAAAGGATTCTTCTTAATCAGAAAAATGATTGATCCATATTCATGATCCACATGATCCATATTCATGATCCATATATGATCCATATTCATTATCCATATTCATTCGTTACATCCATGTCTTCATCTGCAGTTTTTCAGCAGATTCTGCCGAGGCAACACCATCCCCGACGGAGCCCTCAGGCTCTGCCTGCACGTTACGAACATTGCCGTGTTCGTTTTGGGACAGACCCATTTGCCATGTTTGATTGCCATTTACATATTATGTATATATATATATGTGATATATATATATATACATGTATCGACATCTGCATAGCAATTCGTTTGTTGATATGGAGATCTTCACTAAAAACAAACTTCTGCGCGTTTTTTGCGCAAAAAGGCGGTGAATCTCCGTGGCCATCTCAGTTGCTGGTGTTGCAAAATCCCATGGTGGATACGAGATGGGAAGATGGTTATCACAAAAAAACATCTTCAAACCAATCATGATCATCCAAATCTGGTGATGTGGTGGATAAATGTGGATAATTTGTGTATGTTTGCATCATAAATGGAAGAAAGATGTGTTTTTGTTGTGTTTTGGTCCTTTTTCGGATGCTAAAAACGGGATGTCAGTTCTGTTCAACGGAACCACCTCTCAGGCCCTTGATCGCTGAGTTCATCAACGGTGCACTCGATCGCTGCATGGCGATGTTCCACTTTTTTCTATGGCGATTTGAAGGGGGGAATGCTGATCTAATGGGTGATCTACCCTCTGGTTATGTCAACAGTTTGCTATTGAAAATGGCCATAGAAATAGTGGATTTTCCCATTAAACATGGTGATTTTCCATAGTTATGTAAACGTTTACCAGAGGGTAATGGTGATATCATTGGGATGTAAAAAGCCACTGATTTGGGAAAAGGAAGCCACAGGAAGTATCAAACCATCAGATACGGGTCAAACATGCTCAGACCCAAAGAGGCAGCGACAGCAGTTCCAAAAGCCAACTTTGATATCCCAGTTCTCAATTTTGGAAGCCGTTGGTTTATTATGAGATAGATTGTCATTAAAGAAAGAGGTGGTCAATATGATCAATAGTCTTGTAATCTATGAATATCATTGAAATATCATTAAAGATCTGTGGTGATAACGGTAATAAGTCCAATAAAAAAATGGTAAAACAGGGATGCTGGGACATCCCAAGGTTATGTGTTGGTTGTTATGGTTTTTATGTTGTTGTTCAATGTTTCTTCCCTGCCTTTGATGTTTTATGTGGTGGGGATTGTGGGACAATTTTGCCCCGAACTTTCACTTCATTGCTTGGTTTAAGATGAGGGGGAGAATTGTTGTTGCTCTTAGGTTTTATGTTTGTGTTTGGGTTGGTGATTAGGTCATGATATACTTTATTAATCTTGATTCAGATATTCTAAATTAATTCTATCCTCTCCAAGTTCCTATTCCATCCCATTCAATCACTCTCATTCGTGAATATGGTAGTTCATTTCCTTTGTTTAGTTGTTTGATTGCTCCTTCCAACACATATGTAATGATTTATCAACATTGTGTTCATCTCTCCGTCTCTGTTCAAGTTGAATGATGATGTCTCTACCAACCAAGTTTTCATACATTTTTCGGATGATGTCAAACCTAACATAAGCATATACGATTAATCCTCTTACTTCGCTATGTTCTTTGAACTGGTTGGTTATTGTTTCACAGCATTCATTGTCATCATTTGGCGAAGGCATAGGATGACTTTTGACAAAGTTCATTATCTCTGTGTTTTCTCTTTCTATTGTTTTTCGATCGCATTCGTGTTCATCTTCGCTTTCACTTCCAAAGTCAACAATCACTCCTACATTCTCCAAATTAAAGTCCTCGATTTTTTACACTTGTCAACTCCTTCTTGCTGTTGAACGTGGTGATGACTGATGACTTGTAATCTGATGTTCTTTCCCTTGTATTTCTGACGGAACTGTTTGATTTTCAAGTCTTCGTATTTGGGACGTTGTAATGCTTTGATGCCTTGAAACTTGATGTTGGTGATGGAGTAAGCATTGACTGAATTGAATGGTTGAACATCGATTGTCAAAGGGCAATTGTTGCATTGAAACCTTTTTGAGTACCTATGACCGTCTTGTTCTTGCCAGGATCTATCCAAGTAAGAATATACTGTACCTCTTTTTTCTTTCTGTTCACTTTCTTGTCAGTCCCTTGCTTGTTCGTATTCTTGGGTCTTCATCCCTTGATAAAGGTTGTCCATCCAATCGCTCCAGCATCATCGCCATATTTGGCGGTCATCAGGTATTGGGTCACCAATGGCATAATGGCAACAGAATGGTCATACTGTCGCTTGAGTTCTGACAGCAACTGGACAAGGTCTCCAAACAAGACGTTGGAAATCGCCAAACATCTGGCTTCAACTTTGGTTGAAGTGGTCGTCGTCTGCAACTTCTTGATGCTTTCGTTGGAAATCTGGAAAAGCAACTGGTTCATATCAATCTGCTTCTGTCTCGCAATGTTCACTATCTGGGTCATTCGCTGGACAACGGCATTCACAGCAGGGGAAGCATTGGGATGGGCTTGGAAACGAAGCATAGAAGTGCCCACCATCTCAATCATTGTCAAAGCCTCATCACGGTTCTTCGCACCTGCCGCAGGGTTGGATGATGCTGATGGATTGTTGTTGGGTCTCTTGCCACCTCGCAAAGCTCCACGTTGAGCCTTCACTCTGCGATTGTCCCGAAGCCCGTTCTCCTCATCAGGTGGTCATCCAAGTTGATTCATTGTTGTTGAAGAAGTCAAGCACTCTGGAATTGACTTTCCAACAGCCACAAAGCATAAAACGAAGGTGTCGCAACTTCCAAGTCTTCTTCACCACGAACTGCTTGATGGCAAAGTCTCCAAAGCACTTCTGAACGTCAATGGTCATCCCAGCGTTCAAGTCGTCCATAGTGATGGGCTCATCGTTTGGCTCATCAGGGTCTGATGGTTCGTCCTCGTCGTCGTCGTCGTCGTCATCGGAAGGGTCTCCTCTGTCTCTTCCACCGAAACTGTCATTGTATCCACCGCCCTGCTCCGCAGTGGTCGTCTCACTGCCAAACTTGATGACAACATCACTGTCGTATTTCTGGAGTTCCTCTATGAGTTTCGAATTCAAAAGCCTCAAGTTTTGGTTGTGGGACTTGACTTCAGCCAGTTCCAGCTTCAACCTTTGCGTCCAATGAAGTTTCTTACCTTCCTTGGGCTTCTCGGTCATCGTTGTTGATGAAGCCATCTCGCAAAAGGAAAAGGATGCGTGAATTGAGGCTAAACACCGCTGGATGAAACAACTGATGTGTCCTTATGTTCTCACTGATAAAATGTTCGGTCAAGAAACTCAAGACATCAACCAATTCCTTTCTAACATCTCTGACATACAAGCCGACTGGAGTGAGTATGATACATTTTGGACAATGCGGACGTCGCAATCCAAGGCAAAGGTTTCAGGCACTGACTTCGGCAAGTTGGGCAAACTTTCAACGCAAACGGCTGTGAAAATCTTTAGATGAACATGTGGATGGGAAAGTTTCGAATTTTACTGCCCACTATGCCCTGAACAATGCTATTGGAGATATGCTGACAAATCAGTCTTCCTCCTCATCTGACTCACTATCCTCATCGCCAACGTTCGTCCCATCGCCAATGATGGACGATTCGGCGTCCTCATCCTCATCAGCCATAAAAGAGAAATGAAGCACCTTGCCATTCTCCAACCGATAGGACATCTTGGTGGCACGGGGATGGAGGTGGAGCTTCTCAACACCGTCAAGCACAGCAATCTTGGCACTGCGACCCAAAGCAATCGGCTTGTCAGGGTTGGCTTCGTTCCACATATTGATGAGGCGTTTGCGGAAAGAACCAACGGTAGTAGTGCCCGACAATGACATAGTGAAGGACTGCCCATTGAATAGAACCGTAATGGTCTTCTTGGCTTGGCGCTTGGTCGCCTTCTCAACTTTCTTGGCTTCTGCCTTTTCGGCGGCACGAGCCTTTGCCGACGCTTTGTTCTGCTCCTTGGAACGCTTGGCAATCTCACCTTTGGTTGCCTCTTTCCATAGTAGTCCTGAAGCTTGTTCTCCAAGAACTTCAGCACTTCCTTCAACTTCGGCTCTGAACTGGATGCCATCTGGGTCAAAACGTCTCGTCAATGTTGATATCAGCCTGCCCATAGCCACCGGTGTTCTGTCCATCAGACGAACCAGCACCAGACTGCTTCTTGGGAGACATTGGCAACCAACGATGATGGAGTATGGCAAATGGAGCGATGAATGGTGAGTCCAAAACGACTTGCTTGATACAAAAAAGCGGTGTGTCAAAGTCAGTCCATTCAGTGGAACATCCACTGTAAATCAATGCTTTTCCCAAATCTGTTTTTTTCAAACAGATCTTTCTGATTGTTTCTCCAAGAAATCTCACTGAATGTGAAAAGCACTCCGCCCACGTTCCATCTCTCTGGGTGTCCGAACTTATCAAAGTTCAGGAGGATGAAGACGAAGCGAACGTGGCAAATGGTGGAAAAACTAAACATAACACCCCAACAGTCTAAACAAATCCTACCCCCATTCAATCCAAACATCAACAGTGAAAGTTAGGGGCAAATTTTTCCCAAAACCCGTATCACATAAAACATCAAAGATAAGGAAGAAACCTGGAACAATAACATAAAAACCATAACAGGGAACAATAACTGGGATATTGTCCCAGTATCCCTGTTTTACCATTTTTTCCCATTCTTTCTGATGGTCCCATAAGTCTCATAAGTCCCCTGGTTTTCTTCTGCCGAGGTGGCCTGACACAGCGCGTCGAAAAACGTCCAGAGGTGGCCTGAGCCTGACACACCGCGGGGATGGGAGATTGGTGATGAGCAGATCCATAAAAAGGTGGTTCCCAATCTCATATTCCCTTAATATATGTTCCAAATATTTGGCAAATCAACATATCTTGGAGGAGATGGACTATGGAATTCTTAGTGAAATATATGTATTTCACTGGGACAAAGCACGGATTGGGGTCCTTGCCCTATTCTTGCACAAATTACATATGTGGTGATCATTGGTTGGTAAGTCTCTCCCCACATGGATACGAATGGAACTTGGGTCAGAACGGATGGTTCCTGCTTGAAGCCTTTCAACCACATGAATTGCGAAGCATCCAAACTCAGCAAAAAAAAATAGGTTTAACTGTTTAACGATCGTTTCCCTATGATTTCCCTATGATGTCCCTATGATGCTCAGCTTCGTTTCGAATCCACTCGAATCGCGCCAGGGGAAGGGCACCACCCTGCAAAAGCGGAAGCGCACGCAGAGTACCTTTGGCGACTAAACTCCCAAATTTGTGGATCAAAGCCGAATCAAAGCTTGAAGTTTTTTTGTCCCGACATCATTGTTAGCAATCAGATGGCCTGGAATATTTTTCAGAAAAAGGGCTGGCTGTTGCTACCGATAGGGAAGCTGATACCCCGCTAGATGTTTTTCGAGATTTCGTAAAGATTATCCCCATGTGACCATATCATTCCAGCCAGGTCCCGGGGTGGCCAGTTTGGTACGGACCTCGATGGTTCTGCGGTTCTGATGGCTGGAATGGCTCCAGAGTGGTTCCAGTTTTTGCTCATGGATTATGGACATTAATTGGCTTCAGCAAAAACTGGAACTTATTCCATATGTTCATGGAATATTCCATGGGATCATTCCATGGGATTAGGGATATTCCATATGGGATTGGAATATGACTTCCGATGTCATCAAGGGCAATTCCAAACCACCCGCAGCTCGTCATGGAAGTTTCCCCAACGATGGCGAGAGGATGATATAACATGAAGCTTAATTATCATGGGGGCTGAAGCTCAAATTGAGACTTAATGTTTCCGCTCAAGTTGCGATCTGAGCTATTTCTTGTCTTCTTTGGCTAAAAATGGAATTTTATGGATTGATTTTGGTTTCCTGACACCCCATGCCTGGAACCATGCCTGGAAGGCAGCTTGAGCAGCGCAGCTCGTGATCGCTGTTTGCAGTCTCTCAATTGAGAATTTATGGGTGCGCCGTTCCAGCCCATTGTGTGAACATTGGGCTCTGTTGACCCCATCAGGGCCAAACGTATCATCATTTCTTGAAACCAAACGCTCCGGAACGGCACTTCGCTCACTTCGGGGAGTCAAGCCCCATCGGTTTTGTTGGGGAATCCTCCCAGCCTCAGATTTGCCCGTGCAAATCTGGGTCCACGGCCGTGTCATGTCCGGCAGGGAAAAAACAATGCCTTTGAGATCTGAGGTCACGGAGTGGATGGTCAAAATCATCATGTTTCCGTATGTGTTCCATTTTTGTTTCCATATATTTTCATATTTTTCCTAGGTCGTCGCTATGCTGCTTAAGCAGAATATGTTCATAAATGGACCCTTATGTTAGTGTGTTCAATCGGTGCCACGAGACCCGGCCTATGCAGGAGCAAAGGGAGCGTCATGACCACGGCGTGGCGTAATGGTTTTGGGTGACCCATTTCCCAAAAGCAATGTCAATGGATTGGTTTGAGGGAAAAATTACAGGAAACCCCTATATTTTATAGGGGGAAATCGATGGTTTGCTGTAGAGCTTCCCTTAAACCAATCCATTGACAACGTGATTGAAACACCCACAATAACCATTTCCCCCAGCAATGTTTAACCCGGTGGTTTCTCTCAACCGCCGCCCAGTCTTTGGACCAGCATGGTGACCAGCCCAAATGGGGACCTTTTAAACAACCATAGGTCCAGTTACACCAAACAAACGGCCATGGAAACTTCGTTTTTCAAACTGCCAAAAAGTCCCACCTGCAGATGTTCAGTGCAACTAAATCTATCACGGCCTTTGGAAAAATTCCAAACGATTTCCGCCATGGTCCGGTACCGCAGCGCGGCTTCGCTGGTAACTCGATCTGATTGATGTTGCGCTTACGCTGTACTTATCAAGTGGCCATATCCCACGTGATATCTTCTATGGAATCAGAATATGCTTTTGGAGAACAACGGTCGTGTTCGCTTCACCTTTTCCAATGATGTGTATATCCATGTATGCATCCATACATCCATACATCTATCCATACATCCATACATCCATCCATCCAGAGATAACTACATACATATATGATATATGCATACTTAAAATCATCAAAAACATACAAGCATGAACAATGAAACATGAAAACATGAACACAAATACATAAATACAACAGTTGTTGTGCTATTGTAAATGCCAACAATGGGAATATCATATCACAATATGATGTAATAGCAGAGGTACGACAATAGTCTAGTAGCTGTGAGAATCAGAAACCTGATAGCAAAAGTAGCCAGAATACCCTAATAATGAACCGTAAAAGGATGGCAATATTCATACAATGTGAAAGTAATAATGGTAATAGTAACAATAATTATCGGTGATATATGTAGGTAACAATAATAATAATAATTGTAATAATAGTAATAATAGCTGATTGGTGGTTTGGAACATTTTTTTGTTTCCATATATTGGGAAGAATCATCCCAGCTGACTTTCATATTTTTCAGGTGCTCCTCACCTTTGCCGCCACTTGCTTCGTGCGAAGCGGTCTGCACAGCAGGCACCCGGGATCGTCCACTGCAGTTGCCAAGCCCACTTGGTTGAGGATTTTATGATGGGAATTCATAGGATTTTATGGGAATTCATAGGGTTTGATGGGATTTAATGGGATTTGATGGGATAAAAAACCACCCAATATATTGGGGATTCTCATCCACAAGAATTTTGGAGCACCGTTGACTTGGTTATCCGGAAAGATGCGACAAAAAACCACCAACCACACTCGGAGATTCGAAAATACCATCTGGTTATTTAACATAGCCATCGAAAATCCCTTATAAATGGAGGTTTCTAGCTGGGAAAATCATCTATTTCTATGGGCCATCTATACCATGGCTATGTTAGTCATAACCAGAGTGTAGTTCAGGACATCAAACCACAAATGTGACTTGCGAAACCCAGGCGTTCTTACCCGATCGATCAAAGGGAACATCTTGCAGATCTTGTTCTCAGCACGTCCAAAGGTTACCAGGATTCAGATGTTGTAGATTTAGATCAACAAAAATTAACAGAAAAAAATATTATCCACAGTGTTATTATCCAATATCATCCCCAATATACAACAGATATTGTCCCAATTATCCAATATAATTCTTGTAGATTTAATATCATCCCCAGGATATTGGGAAAAATGATGATCCACAGTGTTCGTGGCCAGGCCTTGTCTGCGTGTGCAGACAAGAGCCGACGGAAGCGTTGCTCAGCGGAGTGGTGCTTTTTTGTCCCCCAAAAAAATGGTAAAGGAGGAATCCCCCCACATGATATACCCTCTAGTAATTTAACATAGCCATGGAAAATGGCCCATTTATAGATGGTTTACCTATTAAAAATGGTGATTTTCCATGGCTATGTTAAATAACCAGTGGGTAAGTGGTAGCCAGGGCGGAAGTTTCAAAAATATGTTTAACCAATATATTTTTTGAAACAGAATGTGCTTAAAAAGGATGTCATGCGACACCCGTGTTGCAGATGCAGAAACATTCTTTGTGAACATCTCAGTCATTTGACATGTTTTGCTCTTGGAATCTCTTTTCTCTTGACCTCTCTTGCTGTTGTTTTTCTTGAGATTTCCTTCTCACCTCTTCTCATCTCATCCCATGTCTTCTCATCTCATCTGATCTCATCTCGTCTCATCTCATCCCATCTGATGTTTTCTCATCTCATCCCTCTTCTATTCAGATTGTCTCAACTTTTCTCAGTTCATGTCTTCTCATTTCTGCGTTTCTCTGATGGGATTTTTGCAAACAGAGACATGGTGGGATTCATGATTATCTAAAATAAAGCATGGTAAATGGGAATCCCGTATACTATGATGAGATCATGATCCAACAAAAAACGGAATGGGAATGGCTCAACTCCGAGAACCATGCGAGGATGGACATCCTGTTGCCTGTTGTAAGTTGGACGCCAGGGCAGGGATTAGCAAGCCCTCAGGCTATCCGCAGATTTCGCTTCAAATCTGGTGCTGATACCTTTTATCTTTGCTCATATTATAGCCGCAAATTCATCGAAAAGATCTTTCCAAAAATATCAAAGTTCTATCATTCTTCTGGGTTGCTGATTTTAGAGATCTGGAGTCATGATTATTTTGCTGGATACCAAATATGTTTCATCATCTGAAAAACACTGGAATCAAATCCTCCAGCTTTCATTGGCTGAGGCGGCTCCGCCGCCAAGAAGCACGGTGGTGCCTCGGTCAAAGACCATTGGTGAATGGTGGGTGGTTGGTTGGTTCTGATCTCAATTCTACATAGCATTCATTGCTGATCTCAGCACGTCCAAGGAATGGGACAATTTAGGCTTTGGCCTCACCACCAAAGATACCAACATGGTGGCAGCGTCCTCAGCCGATGGCCAGCTCTGGTGGGTTCAGAATCGAGGCAATTTTTTCATGGGGATATAACCATAATAAACCATATATGGGGATGGGTCAAAACCTATTATTACCATATTTGTGGCAATCAACATCCATTAGCCAGCTATTTTAGGTACCGCTTGGGTCCCAGGGTTATGACTCATAGCCATATAACCATATATGACCAATCTTCTGGTAAGAGGATGAACCTAACGACCAGCTGTTCGCCACTTGATTTCTGTATGGCAAAATAGAGGAGCTCCAGATGGCTGCTCAGGTCGCCACCTGTCCCAAGGATGGGGAATGGAACAGCTTCAAGGCGAGGAAATAGTGGATTTTCCCATTAAAAGCATGGTGATTTTCCAGTTCGTTATGTAAACGTTTACCAGAGGGTATATGATAGTATTATGAATGTTTTTTTAAAACTATATCAGTTCATATTATATCATATGTCATAACTTGACATTAGGTCATAATATATCATACTATGTTTTATTATATCATACTATATTCCATCAATGTTATTGTATCATACTAGATTATATGACCTTTAAATACATTTATCTATACCAGCTATATCAAACAAATCTATCAATAATCTATGCCCAGTCTCGTTTACTCTGTCTCCATGATATCTCCAAGTAAACCCCAGAAATCTACTTCGTCGCAGGTGGAACCCTATGGGGCCTTGCGTTTGGAGCCCTCCGCTCGACCCCTGGGGATGTTTGGGGGCACGGGAAGCATGATGGTTCCATCGTTGTTGATGACCTTTCTGTAAACTAAGATACTGTAGATGTGGAAAACCCACCATTTGTAGCTTGTCACATCTTTGTTCTGCAAAAACTATAGGGTTTTTTCTAGCAAAAACCATGGGTTTTCATCCGGTCTTTGTAAATCTGTAGCCGTTTTTCGGTACCCCGGTGCGGGTGCCCGCTTGTTTCAAACGAGCCCAGGCCACAGTTCTGAACTACGGCCAGGGCATCTTTGAAGGCCTCAAGGCGGGGTCCAGTGACCAAAAACTAGCCATATGGTATGCATTTAAAACAATGGGGAACTAATAAATAAGGATTACTATCATAGGATAATGAGGAGTTTTACTTATCATAATGAGGATTACTATCATAGGATTATTTAAAACTAATAATGAGATAGTAATAATTACCTCATTTATGGGATAATAAATGGGGATTACTATCACACAAAATGATTTGGAAAAAAATCTAGCCATTGCTAATAAATGGGGATTCTGAGGATAGTAATCTTTTTTGTAATCATCAATCAACCCTAATCACAATCATCATTTGGTTGGTGCTGACTGGAACGTGAATGGATTATGACTTTCCAGAAACAGTTGGGAATTTGATTGAATAATTATCCCAACTGAGGAACTCACTCCATCATTTTTGGGGTCGAAATAAACCACCAACCAGATATCACTTCACTTTCACTTTCGGCATACTGTGCAGGTCTGCACTCGGTATTCATGCTAAATCCACGTGGGAAAAAGAGAACCCATTCGTTTACACCTGTACACGAGCACCATAGTAGTCCGGTTGGACCTCGGAGTGCTCCACAAAATCTGAGCAAACGAATGGTTGAAGCTCTGGCGCAAGTTCTGAATGAAGGGCAACACCA